CTCTCTCTCTCTCTCTCTCTCTCTCTCTCTCTCTCTCTCACACACACACACACACACACACACACACACACACACTCACACACACACACACACATGAGTACTGCGAGTTTGTTATGTACTTGGGCTAATAGCGCCCGCGAAAAAAAAAATGCCGTGCGGTTCCGCCAGGGAGAGCGTAGAAAAGCGGTAGCGGTCTGCGAAACGACACGCGGGACTTGGGAGAGGGGGGGGGGGGGGTTGGAATCAGCCACACGGTCCCCGCCTGGGAGAGAGTAGAAAAGCAGTAGCGGTCTGTGAAACAACACGCGGGACGGGGGAAAAAGAAAAGAGGCCTCGCGCCACACAAAAACCACTCCAGTGGGCCCACACTGCCTTTCCCAACGGTGGCAGCGGTGTCTCACGTGGGACGGTCACGCTCGACCCGCTATTTTCTCTAGGAGTATAGGGATGATGTGTGTCATACCCAATCTGTACGGTGATAACCCAAATAACAGAAAATCCGAAAGAAAAGGTCACGGGCTCCTCTTCTGGTCTGGAGTAATAATGTGTTTACTGACAAAGTTCCAAGATAACTTAGATAAGACAATGGGTAAAGATTACTAAAGATTTCTAAAGAGTCAAGTGTGACAGTCGACACTCGTGTCTCTATTACACCGCTCCGCTCCGCAGAGCATTGCTTTTCAGTTTGATGAAGACATGTGATTGGACAAGTCACCGTCACCGTGACTGGCCGCGATTCTTTCTGATATGGAATTTTCAGTTTATGAAGTTTTATCAAATATCTACACGGTCTCTACCAAAGTCGCACACTTGAGTGTTCGGACGTCATCTGGACCGGACATGTGGATAGCCGTCTGCGAGTTTGAATCATAACTACGGTTAAAACAACCTTTGCCACTAGCAATACCCTGTTGAGCTTGGTGTGCTCTTCCTGTTTTCTGTCACGTAAGGCATAAAGTACCGTACAGCTGGGAAGATTGTCACACCCGGGCGGGCACCCGGGCATGCAGAAAAAAAAAAAGAAAAAAAAAAGAAGTTTTCTGCACTCTCCCAGAGGACCCCAAATCCGGGCTCATTTCTCTTTTTGAGAGTTGGCTGTCAAGGGCGGGGGGGGGGGAAGGGGGGTATAAATTGGTTTTAAAGGGGCTAAAGGGGTTTAAAGGGGGGTGCCTTAATGTGATTCTGTTATTTTCTTTTTTATCTCCGATTCTGTGTGGAATTCTGATGTGACCCTCAGCCAAACGTCGTCTGTATTGCAATTCTACACAACATTTTTTTTTCCCTTTCCTGTTTTTTAATCTGGGGCCGCCCGGAACCCTGCCCGGGGGTCATTCCCAGCCGGACACCCGGACGTGTACCCAGGCATAAGTTGGGTGCCCGGGCGCCTGGCAAAACATCCTCATCCTAGCCGGGAGCAACGCTTCCATTGACCTAATGATTGGAACAAAATGCATTGCGGACGCAAACGCGATGTGTCCGTACACGAGGCCGTCTGCCGAACTGGTTCTCCAACGTGTTCTTCTCTCGATGTATGTTTTCAGCACTTGTTTTCGTCTTTCCCTCCCCCTAGCATCCTTTTCGTGGCTACAGTTAAAACCGTCCGACTATTAGCAATACCCTGTTGAGCTCTGTGCTCTTCCGTTAAGTCATACAGGGGTGTACAGGCATGACTTGTGTGTGTGGACCACCACTTGAAAGTTTACTCGATGATCGGGAAAAAAAAAATGTCTGCGTAATATTGTGTATGCAGGAAGTTAAAAGTTAAAACCTATGTGTGTGTACACGACTTTGTCCGTTAAACTGCATTCTCCTTCATTCCATGTCACAGTGTATTTTTTGCGCACTTGTTTTTCTCTGCTTGTCAGGTCAGTGCGTAACCCTCCCCCTAGGGCCGTAGCATCCTGGTTTTTCCCTAACTTCTGGGCTTTCCATTGAGCATGTTGAAGGACAAGCTTCCCTTGGGGTACGGACTCGATCTGCATGGTAGCCTTCGACATTGTGTGGGATTGATATCTGCATTGAGATCGGTGTGAGAAATCTTCACTCCTAAGGCTAGCAGGATTTTCATGTCTGTAATCTTTCCCCCATGTCTTATTGAGAAGATTTTGAAAAGCTGAAAACCAGTGTGGGGGAGGGGGGAAGGCGAGACGAACAGGATGAAATTCCTTAACATTGCTGATGCCATCATGCCAGTGCCGTGGCCGCCATTGCCAAAACTGGAAAGGTTGCCATGGGCGCCACCTCCTCTTGGGTTCAAATACAACCCCACTGACTTGTGTGCTGTGGGCTGCGCAATGTGTTTTGCTTTGCTTTGCTTTGCTTTGCTTTGCTCTCTCTCTCTCTCTCTCTCTCTCTCTCTCTCTCTCTCTCTCNCTCTCTCTCTCTCTCTCTCTCTCTCTCTCTCTCTCTCTCTCTCTTGAGCGCGCGCGCGCGCGCGCTCTATCTATCTATCTATCTATCACACACAGAGCCTGGATACTACGAGGAGGGGTGCTTTGGCATTCGAATAGAGAATGTGACGATCATAAAGGAAGTCATTTGTGAGCACAATTTTGGCAACAAGGGCTTTCTCGGGTTTGAACCCATTACCTGGGTCAGTATGATTATACTCTTTTCTCTCCTTAGCATCGTGCCCCTGTCGTTGTTCTCTTTCTTCCTACACTTCAAAGAGTTGAAATATCAGGTCACTTGGTCAAAATTTTGCCGCTAGAACATGCAAAGATGCACTGCCAAAATAAGAATGAATCTTCCGCTAGAACATGCAAAGATGTGCAAAAGAAGAATGAATCTTCCGATAGAACATGCAAAGGTGCACTGCCAAAATTCTTGTCTTTTGTGCAAAATAAGAATGAATCTTCTGTTAGAACATGCTAATATACATTGTCATTTTGCATGTGGTGAGATCTGGGTAAGGCAAGTGTGAGAAAATTCTTACAGATGTAGACATCCATACAGATCTGCTGAAAAATGAACTGGAGTACCCCCCCCCCCCTTTTACTCTGCCTCCTTTCATAGTGTGCAAGTGGGCTGTTATGGCACACGGGGATGTGGGCAGCTTGCGCTCAACCACAATCAACGTGGCAAGCCGTGTACGTGAGAGGCAGAGTGAAAAGGGAGCGGCAAGACGGAATAAAAGCTTAAAAAAAAAAAAAAAAAAAAAAAAGGCCAAATGCGGTTGACATGCCCCCTGGAGGAGACCGTCCTTGGGGCTGTCACGAGCCATTTGATCTCCTCACTGGTTGAGTACAATGACAGGCACCTCCAGCGGCCTAGCATCCAGCCTCCACTACGATCTGGACTTCTATAAAAGGGTAAGAAAAGAAAAGAAAAGAGGGAAAAAAAAAAAAAAAGAGCGAAAAAAGGACTGTGGAAGGAGAAGGAAAATAACGGATTGGTGTGCCTCATGTTGTTTTCTATGAGAGGTCAAGCTGTTTGAATTTTGGCTCTGCTATACTCACACTAGCACTTTTCTAAATGTAATCTGGCCGCAATTATGGACGATTGGGATGCATCTAACCGCAATCACGTCCAGAGCTGAGTCCCAACAGTCCTAGTGCGAAATTGCCCATTGTGTGCTTCTTGTTGTTTGCTATAGCAGCCTGTAGAGGTAAAGTCTGTTTCGCTTTTGTATCTGGTCGTCTTGGTGGAAAAGGGGTTGTTGCGATGACAGTTCACGACACATGCACAGGCAAATGCACGCACATGCACGGAGGTCCTGAGGAGGGGAGAGAGTGTTTGTTCTTACGCTCACTTATTTGTCATTTGGGCTGTGCGGAAAAGGAGTTGTTGTGGTGACAGTCTACCTCTCTCAGACACACACAGTCCATGGCTGAGTGGGCGTATAGAGTGGGGTTGGTGTGAGTAAAGTGGGGTGGGGTTGGTGCGAGTAAAGTGGGGACCACTTTTATGACTGTGTCAGATTAGTTTCTCAGACTTCCTTCCGTTCTGGTCAGGGGTTTGGACCAGGTTCAGATGTGCAAGGATTGCAAGGTTGGTGTGAGTAAAGGCAACGACTTTTCTCTCTGAAGGGTGGGTATCGCTAACTCTGGGCGATGTGGCGAGTCCTTATCCATCAGTCAGTCGAATGCTTCCTGGGCAGACTGTCTGTCCAGGTTCAACCTCCTGATGAGCCGGTGAAAATCCAGCGAAACAGTCTAGCAGGCATACCTTTCTTGCGGAGTTTGTGTATAACGAATATGACAACACGCACGCACACACACACACACACACACACACGCACACACACACACACACACGCACACACACACACACACACGCACACACACACACAACCTCCCCTCCACTCGCTTTGTGCTACTAACAAATACATACACGAATGAGCATCGTTAAGAGAAGAGACGATATTAAGATGAGAAATGACATGAACGGAAGTATGAAGATGAAGGACGGGCACAAAGACTGTATAAGCAGAACATCTGAAGTGAAACGAACAGGAGTATGAAGCTCTGAAGAGAAATGCACAGTAGCATACCTTCCCTTTTACTCTGCCTCCTGAAATAACGTGCAAGTGGGCCGTGAAGGCACACGGGGATGTGGGCAGCTGCCGCTCAACCACGATCAACGTGGGCAGCCTTGTATGTAAGAGGCAGAGTAAAAGAAGAAGCTGCAAGAAGAATCGAAGGGGTAGCCCAAGGACGACCAAAAAACTGTCTAATTATAAAATTGCTTTGATATGTTGGACATCTCAAATGCTCTCGTTGTCTGCAATAGGACAAAGACTGCTTTGATTCTGAATCTATTCATCTGGGTGGAATTGGGGCTGTTGTGGGGAAAATCTATAACACACATACAGAGAGAATGTTGCTTGCTATAGAAACCACAATCAACATGGCGAGTCAGAACATGAAAGGGGTACCGTACCTCGCATGTACTGTACATGCAAGGTACGGTACATGGGGGAGCTGCAAGAACAAATGAAAGGGGTACCTACCCCAAAGAAAGCCAACATGAACACAATTAAGAAAGGGGGTGACATGCATGCCTCTATTATACTCCATGTTGCTTGCTATAGAGGTGAAACTGTTTCATTGTCACTTTTGTTGTCTGCAATAGGATTGGATATGCTTTGAGGTTGGATCTGCTCATGTGGGTCGAATAGGGGTTGTTGCGGTGAACATTCAAAACACACAGGCCTAGGCAAATGCACACGCATGCACGGACAAGGAGTGCGCGTTTGTTCTTGCTTTGATTTGTTATTCGTCGTGCTCAATGTGTGCTTGATTGCAGGTACCCATTCAGACCAAACTGATGGACCTCTCTCTGATGTCAGAGGCAGAGATGAACTGGGTGGATGAATACCATGCACAGTGTCGGTCAAAGCTAGAAAAGTTGGTTCCAGAGGAGGTCGGAGACTGGTTGAGAAAGGCGACCGAGCCTTTGCAGCGGCCGCCGTGCAACAAGTAGTATTTGTCACGTGTCCTCGACTTTCATTTGTTGTTGGAAGTCTCTCGCTGGCTCGTCGTCATGCTCTTTAAACGTCGAAGTGGCGGCCGCTTCTCCAACCAACTGCCACTTCATGGCGTTGTCTCATCAGCAAGGAGATTTGCTGAAGCAATAACAGAAGCAGCGGGCCCCTCTAGCGCAATCCGAACTTCTGTCCCTGGCGGAAAACACCAGATGAGTCCTCTCCTTCCTCTGCCTTTGTGTAAAAAAAACTCGTACGCCTCAGGCCCCTCTACCGATTTAAAGAGGAACAGGAAATTGTTACTTAGCTCATGTAGAAAGCAGGGAGGAGAGGACAGCTCTGCTTGTACTTGTGTTAAAAAAAACTCCTACGCCTCAGGCCCCTCTACGTTTCCGGCGGTTTCCCGCTCCCCATTATCGCAGTGATGGTGGGGGGAGAGAAGATTCATTCCCCGACAGCATCGACATTCGCGTAGACGGAAATGGCGTTAGCCTCGACCCTGCATCGTGAACAAAAGAAAAATGATGTTCCTTCCCATCCTGCAGGGAGGACATGGCATTCGCCACGATTTGTGGGAAGCCGACAGGGCACACTTCGCCACTCGCTATTTGTGACTTTCCCTTCGCTTTCCCTTCACTTTCCGCCTTGCCAGATATACGATCAGACTCATCAGAGTGATGTTTAACAAGGCAACTATTTCTTAACTGCACAGGAAGGAAGAGTTGAAGGAGCTTAAAAGGAGCTAAGAAAGAGTTCAAGGAGCTGATTCTGCCGGATCACATGGAGGGGGAAATAACTTCAAATAAGTTGGAGTAACTCTTCCTTGTTCTCACAATGAAGAGAAGACTACGACTTTCCCGCCTTGCAGGCAGGGAGGGAGGACATGCGGGGAGGTGGTTGGGTGAAGTATGCACGAACGAGACACACGGGTAGTTTGACTGCAGAGAGGAGGGGGGGGAGGGGAAGTAGGAGGTGGGTCCATAAGACTTGGTCGTGTCGGTGCCGAAGGAAGTCGTCCGAGGCTTTGAGATCAACCGGCAGTTGTCGGTGCAGGGATCGTTCTCGTTAAAAAATAACTGCGTGGAGTAACTGTTGCAATGAACAGAGATGGCCGTTTATCATTCTCTGTTCGATGAAAGGAACTGCGTGCCGATGAATGATGTTGCAATGAACGCCCTCTTGTTGTTGTTGTTGTTTGGTTGTTGTTGTTGTCGTTGTTGTTGTTGTTTTCGCTGTCGGCCATGTCTGCAGTGGAGTTCTTGCCTGTCTGACAGAATTCACTCTTCGCAACTGAACCATCTCTCTCTCTCTCTCTCTCTCTCTCTCTCTCTCTCT